TATTCCCTCTCCTCATCTCCTAGCAGCACAATAAACTGAATCTCTGACCCAACCATTGGCACTTGAGTTGCATTGTGCACTTTTTTTCCACCTGGAAGGAGAATGTGAGGAATAAAAAAACAATATGTGTGATTCTGCTCCATCCGTTGTGATGCTTCTTCATTAAAGACCATGTAGGTTTGGACAACAATAGAGAAGGACAACACCTGATCAGTAGAGTATTAGTGGTCTGAAATACTTGATAAAAAGACAAAACATGTTTATGGGAAAAAATAAAATCAAAGAACAGAAATATGTACATTGTCTTTCACGTATTTATTTTTGTTTTTTTCATTGTCTGCTGTTTAAATAGGGGACTATGGTTGAACATTTCACATCTGTTTTTCTTTTTTTTTCCATTGCAGTTGCTTCAAGGCCTGCAACTAATCTTATTTTTTATAATTTTTATCACAATAATGATAATATTTTTTTTTTATTGCGGTTATTTGGTTCGTTTTGCGTCTCTCCAAGGATGCCGTGGTTTGTTCAGGAGAGGGCTGAAGACATTGATATGGATGAAATCCTTCGGTATTCGAATCTAGTCTTCTTTTTAAAAAGCCCATTAAAGAGGCGTCCTCCTGAGCAAAATGGACAACATTCATGTAGCGCGCAGGAGGGGCAGAACCGAGAGGCAGAGAAGGGCAGAGAATGAGGTGGACAGTTTGCTCCGGAGAGATCCTTGGAAGGTCCGACCAAGCCATCTATTCAAACATCTCATGAAAAGATTTGACCGTCCTTGCGCTGAGTGCCACATTGATCTGCAGCTCGCTAGTTATTCTGAGGTAGGCTGTGTCTGGAAAAGTGGAAAATGACTCATTGAGAAGAATTTCCCATCAGCCTCGTCCGCCCAGCGCCTCTCAAGGCATTATTTTCTCCCACACGAGGAGCAGATTAAGTTCTGATTGAGCTCTGCTCTGTGGGTCCGTGCACATCTCCACCGGCTTCCTTATCTGCTGTTAGTTTGCTCTGTGGATGTCACGGAGGTCACACACCAGTCAGGGGGATTCAATTTGAATGCTGGCCTCCTTTTTCACATCAACATGGTTTCGATTCACATACAGGGCTGCATGTTGCGTCCGTCACCCTATTTTTTCCCCCTGTTGTTTCCCTCCACCTCTAAAACAGGCTCAGCTCAGCCCGTCCTCGGTGTTCATGTCAACACGCTGCTTCACGTTTAGGTAGAAACTGGAGAAACTTGCATCTCTTGTTCTCATCTCATCGTCCTGGCTACAGAGCAACCCCCTTTTTAAAATGCCATGTTGGTGTTTTTCTTCCTTTTCTTTGTCCAATGTTGGAATCCAGTGAATAATAAACACTTTTGTGTGTTCGCAGTCAAGGAATTCCTTTGTTTGCCTTTTGTGTCTTTTTTTTCTTGGTTTTCATTCTCGCATGGGCTGAACCGAACATCCACGCAACGAAAGGCTCAAGGTCACAATAAATGCATGTATTTACCTGTTTGTATATAACGCTCCCTCTCCATCTCCCTCTTTTTTCATTAACCAGTTACATTGAGAACCAAGCCGGCCTGGAGAATATAACAGAAGTTGACCTTGCTTACTACAGAGAGCTGAAGAACCTGTAAGTAATGCTTCTCTCATCACTGTGTCAGTCCAAACAGTTGGCCGACCCGTTTTCCCAGTGCTGGAACATGTGCATATACTTTGAATGTGAGCCTGTCCAGCACAGTCCTACATCCTGGCTCACAATCAGTCGCCATGTTTCTGTAAAAATGTCGAGTAAATTTGAAATAAATTTTTAAAAAATCTAAAGAAATCTAAAATGAAGATGTGAATTTGGTTTGTTTCCATTACCTGCTTTGGAGCAAACATTCTGGGTTGTGCAGCGTCATCAGAACATTGTGGATACGTTATGTTGTGTATGTCAGAGATAAAAAGAGCAGCAGAAGAAAATAAAACCAGAAGCTGAACACACAAACACAGCTGGACCATCTAGAGAAAAATGGAAAGAATTCAGGACCTGGTTTTTGAGTAAAAAACCCCCAAAATGAATAGTTTTTAAAAGTTTTACAGTTTGCATTAGCCTTTGTGTTGCATTACTTGTATGATAAGCATAAAACCCATCATGAAGACGCAGCTACTGACATAAATAAGACGACTGCAGAGTTAGTTAGTTAGGTAGCATTCAGGCACGTGGAGGCTGATTTGCATGTTCACAGATTAGTGAAGGAAAGGAAGCAAAGCTGTAGCAGGACGGGAGTATTCTTCTGGTGAAACACCTGTAAATGTGTTCATTTTATGAGTTTTAGGGCTTTAAACAGTGCAAGAGATGATCTAAGGAGGATACAGGTGGTTTTCAAAGTAAAATTAAAACTGAACTTGACAGTTTTCAGTACGTTTGTTCATGTGCTGCTGAAGGTTTACTGACAAGCCCAGAACTTTTGCAAAAATGGTTCTCCTGCATGCCTGAAGTTACCCAACGAAGGCAACAAGTCCAAGCCAACAGCAAACCTTCAGTATCGTAGGAAACAAAAGTACTTGCAGCACGCTGCTGAATGATCGTCTGAGAGGATTCAGGGTCAGATAAACACTGGACTACATCAGTCACAGGTAGCTTCACTTTGATGTTTCTTGTTCTTTCTGGTCCTCTGCAGCACGGTGACGTCCTGCAAGCTGAGGTTCATCTCCGCCACCGCCTTCCTGAACAACCTCAAGCTTCAGTATGTGTAAGTGTCCTCGTCAATACAAAAGGATTGTCTTCCCCCGTGTCGTGTTCTGACCCGTGTGGGTCGGCCTATTTGTCGCCGTCAGTCAGCGCTCTGCCGGCTCTTTAATATTGCACGTGTCACATGAAGTCAGAGCTGCATTTCTCAAAATCCCAGTGACTCAGTGGCTGGTGGGATCTTCTGATCTGGTAAACGGATGAGCTCAGTGGAGATCAACAAACCACAAGTCGTCACTTCTTAGACACATGATGTAAGATTAGATAGGATTCAGTGTTATTGTCTTGCTGAGTTCAAATACAACCACTAAGACGGTGACATGCAGTTTAGCATCCAACCAGAAGTGCAAAGAAGCCGTCAGCAGTGCTTTTTATAAACAGTGTAAGTAGAGAGGTGTGTACTTCAGTGTGTGTGTGCAGGGTTACACCGTTAGCATAGCTTCATGGTAGGAGGATTTAAGGACATCATCATAATTATCATTGATTAGCAGAAAATTAACCGGGATGCCGATTGATTGTAACAAGCAACTCTAAAGTCAGGTGATCCTGCTGTTACTGACGAACCGACATGTTCTCCCTTTTAGCAGCACATCAGTAACGTAGGAGTTTAAAGATCTACACAGGAGTAGCCACGAGCGTTAGAAAAAGAAAAGTAAGAAGCCTCGTTAAGTGAAACCATGTTTGTTCGTCAGCAGCTGCCCGTTATCGCCACCATCTTGTCCTCATCGTTTACTGAGCGTGTGCAACATGTCCAGTGTTGTTTATCTGGAAGACGGGCGGTTTTTGGAGGAGCAGGGACGGGGTGGTGGTGGTGGTGGTGGTGGTGGTGGTGAGGCAGGCAGGGTGAGCTCAAGAAATTGGAGAAGACATCCACCAGTCACCTTTTACTCGCTCACTTTGGCGGATTATCGACAACTGATGCATAATAAATACACTCCACTAAGGGTCCATTATCACTTAATCAATATTTCACCATGGAGGGAGAGGCTGAGCCGGGCCGGGCCCAGCGTCGGGGCTTCTGTGTGACAGATGTATTTGTGAGATTAAGAGGGACTGGATATAACCAAACCAAGCGCTGAGCAGGAAGGCGACCCAGCTTCTCCTTCTGCTCTGGTCTTGGTGCTCAGACCTCCTCAGCCGTATCCTATGCAAACGTTTCCTAGACACAGACCATCGATGGCTGATGGAGGATGAGCTGCTATTCCCGGCTCTGCTCTCCCCCTGCGGACCCGAGGAGGAATCGAGCCGGTAATGGATAAGCCCCAATGGCTAACCCATCTGACATGAACTTTTGGGAGCAAGGAAAACAAATAATTGAACCCTTGGCCCTGTCAGAGTGATTATGTATTGGTTTCCATGCGCGCGCTCCCCAGTGTGGCTTTTTGTCATCTTCTGAGGGAGTTTTATTTACAGCCTGGTTACTTGGAAGTCTGAGGCTCATTTGAGAACCACTGTGATGATATTTAAGAGGCCTGAGAGGATTGACAGAGGGATACGTAGCCTTCATCCATCACACTGTTGTTATGAAAGCCTGACATACACAATATTGAAGATAACGCCGCATTAGCTTTATTACAATATTCGCATTTGAATCATTTGAAATCTTCAAAAGCAAACAAGAAAGGAGCATCCACAGCTACACAAGCAGCCCGTTCCATTCCCAGACTTTAGCTTCGACATGAATGTATATATCTGTGCTTTTAGAAAAAATCTGCTTTCCAAGTTGGAATTTCATTTCACATTTAAGAAGCTGCAATCAGTAAATTTAAACTTTGTTTTCCTTCAAAAAAAATGGATTAATCAACTATCAAAATAGCCGGCGACTAAGTTAACAGGGCTGATGTGACTGATGACTGATTCACGGTGAGCTACAGACGATGAATCACTGCAGCAGCATCATGGAAACCTGTTTGGCTCGAATCCAGTAGACGTTCATTTACCTGTAGAAGTGCAGCTTTAGATTCGTTTATCTGCAGCTGAGGTGGAAGAAAACGTCTTTAGTTTTACAGGTGTATGATAATGAACCAAAGCATTGGACCAATCAGATCTGACCTGTTGGTGGCGCTACACGGACAACAACACAAGCAGTGGTTTTTATTTAAATCTGAGTCCTTTTGTGTTTGCTGGAGCTTTTCTGTTACGCTATAGAAAGAGTCAAACCTTCTGCGTGTACATACGGGAGCTGAGCAGCATCCGTCCACCAAGAACTGTTGGTGGCTCTGGTCCGATCGCCTCATGTACCGAGCACTGAGCAAACACAGAGAGGTGCTGGGGCTCCTGGGCGGGTGTGAAATACTTGCCAAGGTAATTGATCAGAACCCATTTGGATGCATTAACGTTTTCCACTGAGTGTAATTCCACGCAGGGACATATTCTTCTGAAAGTGAGCAATCAAATCACAGCGTGACTCATCTGCAGAACAGAACCAGGTTACAACAAAGAGAAATACCACATTCACTGGATTTTTCTGTTTCTTTTCAGCTGATATTTGTTTTTGTTTCATGCGCCTCAAAGAAACGTTTGAGCAGATGACAAGCCGGGAATCTCATTTTTAAATACGCTGCCAAGGTGTTCCTGCCTGTTGGTGTGAACGTGGCGGTAAATCAGCACGTTTCTGCACATCTCTCCATCTGTTCAGGTTGTTCTGTCTCACGCCAGTGATCACAATATGAAGACATTTCTGGAAAAGGTGAAAGCAAAGGTAGCACAAGTGAAAGCCTTCACAAGCTCGGCATCAGATAGGCTCAACTGCTGTATGTAACGGAGAATATAGCCAAACAAATGTTGATGTGTGGTGTGTCTTTTCACAGAAACCTGGCATCAAACTCTCTGGAACACATCAGCTGGAGGGTGTTTCATTTCCTACCGCTGCTGAATCTGTGAGTCCCTTTAACTCCACAGCAAAGACGCTCGCTGTCGTTTGAATCATTTTAAATTCCTGTGAGGTCAAGGTGGCTTTCAAGGAGAAAACAGTCTTATGAGCCAAATAAAAGGGAGAAATGTGGTCATTTACACCAGAAAGAAGCTGTGACAGATGTGCAGCTGTTGTCTGCTGGGATCCGTCACATGGTGAAGGTCTCTGCAGGGGGTTGGTTCAGAGTTATATGTAGAAAAAGCCAATCTGTACATTTTTAACATGTGTTTTTAATAATACGTGAAACAATCATGGATGCCATATCTTCTGTCATGTTTTGCATCATTTCTGTTCTGACTGTGACTCGTCAGTATGTCATCTTGCGTCCTCTTCTTATGCAATGGTTTAATCGCACTACAGTTGATTTATTTATTTCTTTATTTTAAATGCGTGCTGCATTCGAATAATAATTTGACTGTAGTTTACCCAGAATGCTACAGTGTTTGGCTCCTACAACAATCAGCCACAACATTAAAACCACTGACAGGTGAGTACCATTATTATCTTGTTACCCTGACACCTGTCCAGGTGGGATGTATTTGAGAGAGCAGTTAGTTCTCGAAGCTGGTGAGTTAGAATCAGAACAAATGTGCAGCGTGAGGATCTGAGGGACTTTGACAGCTAGACGGCTGGGTCAGAGCATCTCAGGTCTTTCTGGCTGTTCCTGTGGTTACTACCTACCAACACCGCTCCAAGGAAGGACAACTGATGAATGGAATGAATGCATCTAAGAAATGGTGGCTGGGCCATGTGGTCTGGTCTCACAGAGGAGCTGCTGTAGCACCAACCGCTCTAAACCTCAATTCACTACGACAGAAAGGTGTCAGAACTGATCCACGTGGTCTTTTCCATCCAGCTGAGTGCACACTGACCGGGGGAGGAGATGGTAGCAGGAAGGAGGAAGGCGAGCTGGTGGAGGCAGTGCGACCATCTGATCAAACCTCCTGCACTCGTGTAGATGCTGCAGCTCCCTAAACATTGCTGCAAACCAAGTATGCGCCTTTACGGCAGCAGTACTTTCTGACTGAGTCTTCCAGCAGGACAAGGGTTAGGGTTACCTAACCCTAACCCTAACCCTAACCCTAACCCGCCACAGTGTAGGAACATGATGAAGGGTTCAGAGTGCTGACTTGGCCTCTACGCTCCCTAAATCTCCCATCAAGCATCTGTGGGATGTGCTGGAAAATCAAGTCCAATCAGGACCTGCTGCTAACATCACAGGACACCTTCAGCAGGTCTGTGGAGTACAGTCCTGGACGGGTCAGAGGTGGTTTTAATGTTGTGGGCTGCTTTCTTATTCTTCAAGGACAAAAGTGTTATTCAGCAAACAAACCTGTGAGATTGTTGCAGCCCAGCGGATGCTTTTGTGTTATTATGATGTGCTGATACTTACAGCACAAAGAACGCTGAACCACAGAACCGTGATTCTTAAAGGTGCATCTGTGTGTTGGGGCTGCTTTAGTGTTTTAGTGGGCTCGCCTTATTGTGCTGGTAAGGTATGGTAGAATAAACTGCTGCTTTCTTTTGTCATTTGATTGACAGCACACTTTCTCTCCACCGGTTTTAGTTCGCAAGTTTTCTGAAAGCAAAAGAAAAGTCATGGAGGATATCTACAGTTTGAAGGTTGTTTTATGGCTGAACATAAACTTCTTCTTCTTTATAATTTTGTGCATCACATTGCAGTGAGTAAAAACTGTTTTGTTTTACACTTAAATGTTCGTCTTCATTAGTTTGACTGGAGAAGTGCAGGTTTAGGACGCATGGCAGCCAAAGCTCTCGTCTGTTCTGTTCATTTAAACCTGAATCTGTGGCCACCAAAGCTGATGGTTGCTCCTGCTTTCTTCTCAGGGTTTTAAGGGACAACCCTCTGGTTTGCTCGTGCGACCTGCACTGGCTGCAGCAGTGGCAGAGCAACGACCGCGGCGACCTGGACAGCCAGATGTTGTTCTGTTTGTCCAACGATGAGGAAGTACCGCTCAACTCTCTGGTGATAGACAACTGCAGTGAGTTTGGTTTCCATCCTGATGTCTGAGCTTCCGTCCGTACTGTGTTGTCACGTTTTACCCTTTATGTTGTTCTTCATAGAGCTGAAACATCAGGAGGAGCCCTTTGAATATTTTAATGTAAAGTTGAAGAGATTTTGGTGAATAATCCGTATTTGAAGTCATGGAATTGGCTCGGGAGCTGATAACGTTTGTCGTTCCCGTTCATATGAAAGCCGACAACAAGCAGGTGCAGTGAAATGCAGGGAAGAAATTGACTCGACATTGTTGCTTTAATCACATACGGCAGGAACATCTCGCTGTTGCCAGGAAACATATGAGAGCTTCTGGGCCGGTGCTGCTTTTCTGAACTGCCAAAAGCAGCAGCTCGACTCTCCACTTAGCCGTAGCATCATAGCAACGTGTGCTCATAGCCTCCGCTCTGCTGCTCTCAGGTCTGCCCGAAGTGACCATCGTGCCCCTTCAAGACAAGATCCAAGAAGGAGGCAACCTCACGTTTGAGTGCCATGTGACAGGAAGTCCCACTCCCACTGTGAGATGGCGAACTGAGGAGCTCGAGTCCCACTTCTTCACCCAGGTAGCACATTTATATGCACGAGTGTCTTCAAACATTACACCACAGTCAGTAGTATTTAAATTGATTCTGAATTAATTTCATGCAAACTGCAGTAAGTTGTCCTTATTTAGTTCTAAAGCAGCGTCAGGTCTTCTGTTTGAGGACAGTGTTTTAGGCTCACTCGCTCTCTTCATGTAATCCCAGACGGACCGGCTGATGCTGAGACCACGGCTCTGTTGGGGCCTCGCCATCTGTTGCGGCTCTCCCTGTAGATCCTCATGTCTCTGGCTGTTTGTTTTGTTGTCCTGCTGCACTATTTTACACACCATCTGTCTGTCTGTATATCACAGGAGCAAGAAGAAAGCCTTTATTTAGACATTGGACACGTAACATTGCTGCTCCATCCACCTGTTAGCGCTCAGAAGTGGCGTTTATATGAACGTCCCTCACAGCTTCCTTTAGATGTAGTGAGCCGTGGTGCCATAGCTGCCATGCACACCAGGTTAAGTGACATTGAGTCACACAACCCATAATAATATGCGAATAAACAAAAGAATCTAACAAATAACTTATGAAGTGTGATGCTGTGGATCCGTGCTGTCTCCATGTCAGCCATCATTTATCACTACAAGTAATGGATGAAGGCACCAGTTTGTTCCATGTATGACAATGTGCCCAGTTCTCTTGCTTTGGACCTGCTCATATGGATCCTGATGCTGTAAATACAGTCGTGACTGGATAATCGACCCTTAACAATCCTAAACCTGCTATCCAACAGGTTTTTAGGAAAAACCAACAGAACCCATAAAAACAGCCTTAACATAGCGACAGCCTTGGATTGTGACTCCGACATGACATTTAATGTCACCAATCAGGATGACGGCGTATTATCTGACTGAACAATCCCACAGATTGGCTACGTTCACACTGCAGGACTTGATGCTACATTCGGAGCGCTGAAGTGTCCGGAACGTGCACAAGCCGGTCAGTGAGGCTGAAGTCCAGCGATGTCCAGTGTTCTAACAACACACTGGTTATTATAACAACTATGAACAATAATGAACAACTAATGAGCCTTCCAGCATCAAGCCCTCCTCGTATCTGGACCTCCGTCTGGACAATCCGACAGCCTTGATATCCAACATAGAAGAAGGTTTTACATTTAGTGTCGGATCATCCAGTCACGGCTGTATTTAGTGAACTCAGAGGAAAGACTTGAACAAACAGCTGGAAGCTGAACTTAAGCTGCTGGTGAAGTTTTGTGAAAACCTGAATAATGTTTATTATTGGTGAAGCTCATTAATGTGACGTGTTACGGATTTTGTCTTTTAATGGACTTTTTAGATTGTAATAAACATAACGTTTTGTGCGGTTTTGCACCGATATTGGTGCTGAAATGTGGAAAAAAATCACTTCATACAACTCAACATATGCCAGTCGACCATTTTCTCTGTTATTTTTGTCTGTGCTGTGAAGCTCTTTACATCAACTGCTCTGTACTTAAAGTGATATAAATCAGGTTCAGTTGGGTTCTCTAATGTATTGATCTACAGGAGAGTAAATTGGATCCCATTTCATCCTCTAACCTGTATGCCTGTAAGCGATCTATACGTAGCTGTGACTCCTCTGCTCTGTGTGTGTGCTGTCGGCTTCGGCAGGAGAGAATCTGGGGTTCCACATTAGAGCTGGTCCTTTACCTCACCAACGTTTCCTCCAAGGACAACCTGCACAACCTGACTTGTGAGGCGGAGAACCAAGCTGGGCCCAGAGAGGGGATGGTGCAATTGGACATTGAGTGTAAGTGCCTGCAAAATAAAACCACACTCCTGAAAGCTCACAGGCTCAATACAAGTCATCGGGCTTAATGGAGGTTAGGGCGAGTGCACACTGGGACCATTTTCTGGTGCAGGCAGGGTGGACAGCCAGAGAAAAGAAAAATGCGCTGCACTGATTTCTTCTAAATGCCCCTTCTACAAATACGAGTATGTCCCCACCATGCTTCTAATGGAGCTCTCTGTCATCTGCCACTCAGGCTGGCCACTGGTGAGAAGTGTTAAAATAATGTGAGTGAAGTGCTGCAGGTATGGCTCGCCATTTAATGCAGGGATACAATGAGAGGACAAAGGAAAGTGAACTTAGCTCACCTTGCTCTCACTGAACTCCTCCACCTCACATACGCCGTACTTTTTAAATTACACTTGCAGCTTGACCCAGGAGGCTTGCTGTTGTTTTCTCCGTTCAGATGCATTAGTGCATGTGGAAGTTGAGGAACATTGAGGAATGACAGCACCCAGCGGTCCCACAGAAGTCAGAGTCAGATGCATTAGTGATGCATTACTGAAAATACTACCCAAACAATATCATATATCACCAACTCAGTGACACTCATTAGAAAATAAAGCCAAAAAGAGCGGGGGCGCCAATCAGCTGAAGCCAAATGCACGAGCATCGAGGGACAGATAATGAACATCAGGAAAATGGGGCTGATAACCCGTGCTAAGATCTGATTTGAGCCTGTGCTAATGGACTTTTCCCTCCTACTCCGGAAAACCGCTTCATCCACAGTGATTGGCAGTCTGTAAATGCGTTAGTGCAGCTAATCTATCAACATCAGCCCCCCTGGTGGACGGACACTCGTTAACCGCTAGCCCTTTAATTACTCTTAATTACCTCCCAGAACAGTGGGTGTTTACTGCTGAGTGGCTCTCTGCGCCACCGATTCGTGCTGCTCGTGTGGCTTTCCTTTCATGAGAGAGCCGTTCGAAATCATGGGCTTTTCATACTTTTTTTGCGATGTCATTTTTAAACTTCAGATTTGAAAAGAATAAAGTTTTATCAGTACACATCAGCACAGAAGTGAATAATTGGCGCGCTAATCTTCCAGCGACTCCGCCTGGACCGGAGCCAGGAAGCGTTTTGTGTGTTTGCCACATTTCAGAATGTCCATTGTCTGGTTCTGCTCTGAGGTCTGAGAACTGACAGGCTCATTAAACATAATTCTAGCCTTCCTTTTAACCCCTGCAGTGAAATAGCTCGTGTAAGATTAGTAGAGGCTGCTAATGGATGATTAGTTAAATGTGATAAATAGCACTAATTTTCACTCAGTGTAACGGACTTCGGCCCTGAGTAAAGAGACAAATGCCTCGGTTATCCCCTTAGCGCAGCACTTTCTGGGGCTGGGTCATGGGTTAAGAGCAGCACAATGAGGGGTCTCTGCACTTGAGAGTTGTGTTCGATCTGAACGGGGCCATTTCCTGTAACTTCACGTCCGGTGGAGCTTCCAGGTAGCTTTTGTGGTCGGGGGCACGACGACGACCAGGATTCATTATTCATGGCAGGTCAGCACAGGTTTGCAGTGCAGATGGAGAACATTGATTCATGGAAACTTGGTGGGAACCTGCAGGGCACTTGACCAGCTTCATGCTACACATGCTCAAGGTGCACATGCAGCATGACATCATGGCATGCATGACCGTGCGTCTAGATGGTTATTATTTGATCTATTGGCAGTTAACAATGACTGCACGTGAGCATAAATGTAATGGTGGACTTTCACTGGAGTACTCGTGTGGTTTTGCTGCTTTTATTTAAGTCCATGATTTGAATAGTTCTTACACCCTGAGCCACAAGCAGTGATTGGTTTTTACTGGTTGACTGGAGTCCACAGTGATGGCTTCACGTGTCCTGTGTTGTCACGTCAACCTTAACATTTAAATATATTTAATCTACAAACAAATCTAGGAAAATGAGCAAATCTTCATGCTGGAGAAGCTGAAATTACTATTTATGCTTTAAAAAGCCCTGCGGTGAATTAAATTGTCAACTAATCCGGTAATCAACCAAATGTTGCAGCTCTAGCTGAGAGGTAGATGAGAAGGTAGCTCAGCACCAAGACTGGAGACGGAACCATCAGCCAGTCTAGAGGAGCATTAGAGGAGCATTAACACGGCGTGGTGGGGGCATTTTATTACTTTTCAAAGGCCTGTGCTGCTGTAAGTCACATTTCTGTGAAGACGTGAGAATGGGCTCAATGTTCCCACATAACTCCTGTCAAAGATGTAAACCTAGGTTAAATAAAAACAGATTGCAGCTCAGCATTTCTTGGGGAGAAAATGAGAGTCACTCATCTGCTTCTTCTCTCGCCGCCCCTCGTCTCCCAAACCTGTCACCTCCCCACAGTTCCAGTCAGCATCCTCTTCCTGAGAGACGCTGTGCAGCAGCACAACTGGTGTTTCCCCTTTGCTGTGGACGGCAACCCCGAGCCGAGCATCACCTGGCTGTACAATGGCGTCAGACTGAAAGAGAACAGGTACGCGTACACCCAGCTGATCCAGGACTCGGGCGACGGGTCGGTGAAGCACGGCTGTCTCTTCCTCAACAAGCCGACCCACATCAACAACGGCAACTACACTCTGATGGTGGAGAACCGGCTGGGCAGGGACACGGCCACCGCCATCGGGTCGTTCATGGAAAACCCGTTTGATCCGCTCGATCCTGAGGGAATAATTCCAGGTGAGTTCCTGAAACTGTTGTGAATGTTTTTTCCAAGCATGAGCACAGGAGGCTATTAGAGCAGCTAGAAGACAAATACATCTTACTTACCTCCCTAATACCTCTGAAGCTCTGAGCATGATGGAACAGATCAGATAAGTTCCTTCACAGCAGCCTGAGTTCTCTATTAATGAATCATTATGAGATTATTAGTTCAGTGAATCAACAGAACTCTGAATCAGCAGGTGAGCAGCACACAGCTAATAGCTACTCACTGATTACTGAAGCATAATTAATTAAGCAGATTTTATGCACCTTGGGTAAAGTGCTGCATCATCCTGTCAAACTACCAATTAGCTGCTGAGTCTTTACAGGAAAAATTAATTAATTACGACTCAGAGAGAGCAGGATTCTCTAAAACAAGGAGCTGCAGTCATATTTTGAGCAAACATCCACATTTCAAATACTGCATTAACTGCTCTCACTTCAAAACGAAGCGCGTTGATGCACTTTAAATGAGACGTTTCAATAATCACACAGCCCACGAGGTGAGACGATTCTGTTGATTTTATTATCGTGGCTGCATTTCTTAAAAAGGCACAGAACAATATTGCTATAAAATACGACTAACATTTCATTTATTATCATCCAACTCAAATCACAAAAACAAATAGAAGGCAGATAATAAATAGATGCAGTGATACAAACGTAAAGCAGAGCCCGGGATTCACAGTATAGACACCAATAAACAGAAGATACAAGAATACAAATGACAGCAAACTGAGGTCATATTAAAAATGTAAATTAGTAAAATAAAACTACTACAAATACATTTAGGTTATTTATTAAATTATTGTGGAAAAACAGGATTTAACTTCAAATAAATCAACAATACAGCCACAAGGAAAATATGATGAAATGTAAAACTGAATTGGCCTAAAGGTAAAAATCAGTTCACCTGTGGATTGTTCTGCAGGTTATTTCATGCTACATTTGCACAGCAAGAGTAAAGCTTCCAAACAGTCTGAAGCTAAAACCTAATCCAATCACCTGAGCAGGAAAGGAACACATTCAAAGACTGCTGTGAAGCTATGTAAGGGGCTAAACAATCAGTAAGGAGCAAATATATAAATAAAATCCTGTGTGTATCGCGCCTTACAGAGCGGGAAGGCCACACAGGTCTAATTATCACCCGTACAGCATCATGAACATGGTCCAACAGCCTCTGGTTTACAGCTGAGACATGCATATATACTGAGCAGCCTCCATCAGCTTCCTTCTACAGCGCAGAGGGAAACATTATTTATTGCTGGGTTTTTTTTGTCCTAATTCGGCCCTCAGTTTCCTCACACAACATTCAGGTTTTCATCAAGGCAAATTCCAACATTTGAACTCTGAGACTTTTTCACAATTATGATCACAATCAGTATTTTTTGCTCCTGTAAAAATCACAAATGTGGTTTTGTCTGCATTAACTACTAACTCATGGTGTTTACACGAAACTACACAACGCAGTGGTCAACGGATTAAACAGCAGAAAAACAGTTTCAGCATTACAGTATAAAACGGTATCATCTGCATATAGATGCACGTCACATCCAGATACAGAAGAACCTGTATCACATATATAATATATGTAAAGTATACATCAGGCGTGAACAGAACAGGACCCAGAACTGAGCCTTGTGGCACACCTTTTTTATTTACACATAGCGTCAGTAAATAAAGCTAAACTATGAATTAAACTCGAGGTGGAGTTCTGTTACAGTGAGAAGTACGCTGTGTTGTTCACTTAGTGCTGAACAGGGACAGACGCTGTGTTTGTGGAGGTTTAATGGGTCAAACATGATGCTGTTCTCTGTAATGTCTGGTCATTAATGTCTTTGTTTTGTCCCCCCACATGCCAGTCCCGATGGTTCCAAGTAAGTCTCTGATTGATTTTGCTTCTCTTAATAATTCCTGCATGATTCCCCAACACTGAATTACCGTGATGTAAGGTGTTTGTTCGGTAATTTTGCTTCAACAAGTCTTACCGACGTCCCCCAGGTCCTACAAACAAAGCCGACATGGACGTCACAGAGAATCCGGAGAGTCGAGTGTTTGTGGTAAGTTGTCACTCCCAGTCCAGAAGTACTAACTGTCCATAATGTTAATGACTGAAAACCTGTACATTGGTTCCACAGGTGTCTGTGGCTGTGGGTCTGGCTGTGTTTGCCTGCACTTTCCTGCTCATCATGGTTCTGGTTATCAACAAGTGTGGCCAGCACTCCAAGTTTGGTATTCACCGTAAGTTTTCACCGTGTTATTTTACTGTGTACGAGATATAACAGCCGGCTGGTAAAGGCATAATTCAGCTATAATTCAGAGTTAGATCCTGCTGCCAGTCACCTGCTGATCTGTCCAAAACAGAAACTAACCTTCTGTCCCTTTTGTGCCCAAAGCCGATTGCTTGTTAATACAGGCTACGTCTCCAGCTGCTTTGGTCTGATTTAGACAGTCATGACGTCTTTCACAAATATCCTGGCGTCTGCGTTGTCTTACTGCTACTGTGGCCTAGATCCTAACCAATCCTCAGTTCAGCTATTAGAACTTCCACTTGCCAAAAAGTAAGCCCAGCCCCGACCTTGTGACTGAAATGATCTTTATTCATCAGCATGGCTATGTTTTATTCATAAGAGTTAAACTTCACAGATTAGACCATCGACCAAATCAACAGCACCGACATGATACGAACCGACAATAAAATGTACGGTTTGTTAAAGCACAACAGAGATTTGGATGCGGATTTCTGTCAACTATGTAATGCTATCTTTACCCTACACGGACCTACCATGCCTCCTCTTGCAGGTAGTCGAACCCCAAAAGCCCATCCGGAGGCAGAGGAAAGTGTAGAAAAATATCTGAGAGTCCAGAACGAACATTCATCACTCCGTCAGCTTGTTATTAATGATATCAATGCTAACTCAGTGCTAACGCTATGTTCTGATTCTCCATGAAGCTGACAGTGTAGATAAATGAATCAGGACTTTAACGTCGGCTGGAGATCACCACATGGTGGAAACGAGCTGCTGGAGGAGGTCTGAGTTGTTTTTACTGCAGATCTCTGTCAGTTCCAAATATCTGCTATTGGTCTCCTTGATTACTAATTACCAATACCTGCCCTGGAAAAAAATAAAATATATATATATGTATGAGTTTTCAGGTCCTGTAGAGTACTCCTGCATATCTGAACCACACTGGCAGGCCTCTGGACCAGCCTCCTCATCTCTGATGGAGGTTTCATTAACACCACACGTCTAAATCCCCAATTAAACCTTTATTGGTCAAGTTGCATTATGGGTAATGTAGGAGCAGATTGGCCCCAGAAGAGTGAGTGGAATAAAATTAAAAAAAGAAGAAGAAAGAAACAAAGCAATCTGTGGTTCTGGTGCCGTGATTATCAGCCTCCTGCTTCAGCCCCGAACAATCAGTTCTTTATGCTGAAGTGATAAAAAGAATCCAACACAATGTATATGTGAATAAGCCAGTCAAATGTTCTGCCAAATTATTGTTTCACATCACACACGGTTCTGTCAGTCTCTCTGAAGGTAATGCACAGCAGAGACAGACTAATATAGGATTTCCACTGAGCTGTAACTTTGCACACAGACAGCCGCTGTGCCGGCCGGCCTAAAGTGCCTTAATTACTGCACGAGTACGGCGGCAGAAACCTCCCCTGGCCACCGCCACGTGGTGAGGGCCATTAAAGAAGATGGATGGATGGATGGAGGAACAGCTAGACGTGATATAGCTCCACCCGGACTCCACCCCCCCTCCAACACACACTCACATCCACCCTTCTCACTCTCAAAGTGCCTAAGTGGGCCTGATTGCCTAAGTGGACCCTGCTCCCTCTTTCCTTCCCTCCATCGCCTCTGTGCTCTTTGTTGTTCCATTTTCTGCCGTGTTGGACTCTGGGGGTTCTGTGGTTTGCCTTGCTGAGTGGGGTTTTACAATTTGGGCCCCACTTGTTTGGCTTTTAATACGCACTATAGGCAGGGGTTGCTAACCATTCAGGCTTTCAGTTCAATGCGGCCTGATTGATGCCTGGTTGATGATGGTGATTATTAGAACTTGTCATCATCTGTCACCATGGCACCAACAAATATGCAACCAAGTTGGGAAGTGAGAATGTCGATTCCTCCGAGGGGGAGAAATGAGTTCTGAATTGCCTCCTCTGATGGCCGCTGCAATCACAAGTGTTTGGAGGCTGATTAGGTGTTACACATCTCTCAGGTCTGCTTGTTTGCGTCCCGCCCCGTTTCATTAGGCTCATCAGTTTTGGGCACTGAGGACGAACTGGCCGTGTCGCTTCGTTTCATGAACTTTGGAACGAGCCCTCCTTCCTCAGATGAAGACTCCGGCTTGTCCAGCTTTGTGGAGAATCCACAGTACTTCTGCGGCATCATCAAGGACAAAGACATGTGTGAGTGTTGCTGCAGAGCTCGTTTCCACACCTTCATACTCTGCTGATGTTGGTTGGTTGCTTTTGTTTGATGCCCCCAAAAAGCTTTCAGAACTTTTTCTGCAACCAACACCTCAGGGGACGAAGCCTCCCCAGTTGTTCTCACCCAGGTTCTTGCATTGTGTGTCGGCAGGCGTCCAGCACATTAAGCGGCAGGACATCGTGTTAAAGTGGGAGCTGGGCGAGGGAGCGTTTGGCAAAGTCTACCTGGCAGAGTGCGCTAACCTCAGCCCCGACAGCGACAAGATGCTGGTTGCCATCAAGGTGAGTAGCTCTCCAACGTTCCCCTCCGCTGTTTGAAAAGCAGCGTGAGTGTAAACGTGGTTTTATTCGCTCTAAGCGTCGGCAGTAACGCTGAAGATGTGAAGTCAGATGCAGTGAAAGGATTCAGTAAGAACACAGTGTGAAGAGTTTAAAAGAGGAAAAGTTACAGTTACGTTTGTATCTCATTTCATTTGTCTATTCAGTGCAATGAAATAATAAAACCAGGTACATGTAAGCAGCTGTTTTCTCCTGTGTGCATCCCAGACGTTAATTAGTTAATCGGCCTGGATGGAAAAAACGCTGAGTCATGTATCACGATAAAATGTTTTCTACTGACCAAGAGAAAACAGATTTCATTTTAATTGGACCGCTTAAGGGCTGCACGGTGGATCAGTGGTTAGCACCATTAGCCTCACAGCTAGAAGGTCGCCGGTTGGCGTCCCGGTGAGGACACCCGGGATCTTCCTGCGTGGAGTCTCCATGTTCTCCCCGTGCAGCGTGGGTTCTCTCCGGGTTCTCCGGCTTCCTCCCACAGTCCAGAAACATGCTGAGGTTAATTGGTGATTGTAAATTGTCCGTAGGTGTGAATGTGAGTGTGCTTGGTTGTCTGTCTCTAAGTGTAGCCCTGTGATAGACTGGTTACCTGTCCAGGTGAACCTGCCTTCACCCTGAGTCAGCTGGGATAGGCTCCGCCCCCCATGAGCCTGGTGAGGATGAAGGTGTAGAGATGATGGATGGATGGATGGATGGATGGACTACTTTGGCCTTTTTATCAGTTAAATTTTATTGATAACACAACAATTAAAAACATCGACAGAGATCCATTTAAACACATAAATTAAAAGAGACAAGGACAAAGGAAGGATCTCACTCTGATGCACTTAAAGTACCCGACTGCCCCCTCGTCAGCTCCGTCAGTCCTACAGGCTGCTGCTAGTGTCTGAACTATCACGGATAATCAGTGTAAAATGAGGCCAACGTTGACGTGTGATTCATACGTTAGGACACTTCATTACTTTAATAAACACCCAGGCTTCACTTTTTACCCACAGAGGTCAGAATGAAAACAACAAAGTTTAAACAGAAGAACAACAGCAACCCTCTGAAAGCAGGCGGCTACTTCTCACCAGTTTTTCGTTATTTCTATTATTAATAATCGGAGTAATGATAAATGAAAGCTAATGGTAATGCTAACAGTGTCATCACTCCATTATTCAGCATCATAACTCAGGAACTGAAGGAGAGTTGGATGCAAACTGCAGCTTCCCTCGCTGTCGGAGACGTTGCTGCTAGTTTTCTGTATTAACTGTAAAACCTTCAGAGCTGAGAAGTCAAACTGTGAGTCGACGTCCTCCAGTCGGCTGTCTGGTGTTCACAGTGCAGCCAGTTAAAAATGCTCATGATTTAAACATGAAGTACTCGATGAAGATGCTTCTTGTCGCACCAACAAGAGTAAAAGTAAGTCGGCTGCTCACACTCACATCTTCTGTATATTTAAACAGCATCCTGCGGTTTCAGAGTGAGTTGTGTTTGTCAGAGGACAGTCAGGTGGTTGAATACGCGGCTCACGTTACAGCAGGTTAATGCAAACCACAGCCAGTAAAAACAAGATGGTAAATACGGCTCTGCTCAGATATATCAGCCCATTAATCAGACGTATGCTTTTATAACACATCACCAGTCATCTGAGCAGAAAGGAACCCCGAAGACCGACCAGAGTCTTTTAAAGTCCATCTGCTGCTTTCAGTCCTGCTCAGTCTGTGTGTTTCATTTTGGAGTTTCTTGGTTCGTATGAGCCTCCAGCTTCTTGACCTCGTTGTTTGCTGACAGATAACCAGTTACAGCCTTCTGGGCTCCAGGCCACTGCTTTAGTTTCACTGGACTTAATTGTAGAAATTCAGACCTATCAGTAAAAGTATTATTTCTTTCGGACATCCTGGGTGACTTGGACGGATGTAACGCTGCGTGAGATTATGAATAATTTAAAAGATTTTAAGTTTATGTTATTTAGTTTACAAAAAAGGACAAACGTTTCAGCTGAGTGCTTTTCCACGACTAAAACTTTAATGTGCAATCCTCGTGTGCTCACAGACTCTGAAGGACGCAAACGAGTCGACTCGGCAGGACTTCCAGCGGGAGGCGGAGCTGCTGACGATGCTCCAGCACCAGCACATCGTCAGGTTCTACGGCGTCTGCACCGACGGAGAGCCGCTGGCCATGGTGTTCGAATACATGAGGCACGGGGACCTAAACAGGTTTCTTCGGTATGTTGAGGAACAAACTCTGCGACAGTCCGTCCCTGCTGAGCAAAGTGTGGATCCGTACTGCGTTTACTGTTGGTTCACTTTGTAGAAGTAGCGGATGAAAGGCATCAAAAGCACCTTCTTCACGGCAGATTTTTCAGAGCAGGAAAAGCAGAAAGTGTCGCAGCAAGCCATCAGTGTGACATTCATGCATTCAAGGCTCTGCTGCAGGTAATGAGCTGCCTGGCGCTGCATGGAGGCCACAGCAGAGGTGTGTGCTGGTGTGTTTCCACTTATGTTCGCTCTTATGGAGTAATTTAAATGTTCATCTGTCACTGCTGTGTACACTTTAAAGTTCATGTCAGAAAAAGCTGCTTCAGATTTTTATAGGTGCAAATGAGCAGCAGACAGTTTGTGGTTGAGGTTCGTATAGATTTCTTGTGAAGCTGCCACCAGCGCTGACCGTCATCAGGATGTGTGCAGGACGGTAACGTGTAAATGAGCATCTGTGACGTTCAAGCCAGACCAGCCAGAGGGAACACAGGCCTGGTCAAGCCTGTAAGCACCAGGTCAACCTTGTTCTCGTTACACAGTGTGCCAGAGTTTTTAATCTAGTTTCTGTGGCAACTCGGTGCACCGCCAGCAATGCACATCGTTAGCAGAGATTGGCCAGAAATATGGTGGAGTCTGTGGAGGACAAGAAAAGTTACTGATGCTCCAGATGAAATATCAGAGGAAGTATTACAATCTAAAAATAGAAGAGACACTCAGAGTTGATCTGATCCTAAGAAGCACTCAGGACACAACAAGTAGCTCTTGTAAAAAACAATGTTTGTTTCTTTTATTGCTTTTCATTGACCGGGCTGTTCTCTGCGGTCATTAGCTGTCCCTAGATTGGCTTGCTGCTAATATCAAAAATACACTTAAGACTAGATTAGAAAGTAGAATGGTGGTGGTTAGGGTTGTGTTTGGGCCTGTGTGTTTGATCGTATGCAGGGAGGCGGGCTGTCACCGTAGAGGACGGTTTTCATGGACACTTTGTACTTTTTTAGCATTTTAACAGGAACATCTAGAGCGTTCCTCCCAGCCATGCTCGGTTTGTTCTCTGTGCATTAATGCATAACGCTGGCTGTTTTATCATGTGCGACCAATAAACACGCAGAGACTCGTGTAGTTAGTTTAGAGGCAGAGCGTCACCTCGCTGAAGCTAAAATGTACACAGGATTTGATCTATTGTAGATGCATGGATGGATGTCATCACACAGAGAAGCCTCTGGTCTCCACTCGTGCAGGTTTGTGGCCAAAAATGTAGTTAATGTGAACAGAGTGAAATCAGATGTTGTGATGTCAGCTGTGCCTCAGTAATGAACTGAACATCGTACATCTCCAGTCAGGCTGGGAGGAGTTCAGACAGACTGCCAGCATACAATACATGACAAATGTGTGGCGGGAGAACATTGGGTGACTCCTACGTGAGCTGGAGAACAAATAGACAAACACACAAGGCAGCAGCAGAAAGGAAACAAACACACAGAGAGAGACAAGGACAGCGTGCACACAGCAGAGAGAGACAAGAGCCCAGTTTCCTGGATGCAATTCACAATATGTCAAGGCACAGGGCAGCTGTATTATTTACAGGATGTTCTCACATCATTAGTCATAAATAGAGTGAATTTCAACTACATAAGAGTTTCATTGAAAGATGATGGATGAAGTAAATTACCAGTTTTTAGCCCTTGGGCAGAAATAGACAAGTTTCCTTGAACCGTCCACTGAACTAATGTGGTATCTGGAGGAGGTTTTATGTTGCAGATTAGCTCAGAATGACACTTAAGTTTGTTGTGGTGAAAGAAGATCTTCATATTTTTCAGCCATTTATATGCTGTCATTTGAAAAAAGCTCTGACTTGGTGGACCTCTGGAGGGAGCTGCAGGAGTCACTGTCGACCTATTAGAGCTCACTTGGCACCTGGGAAACCATCTGAGCCAACTGTTGGAGCAGACGCAGGCGATGCTGTCTGCCAGGTGTCCTCCACAGGAGACAGATTGGGAATGAAAGCACACGCACACATGCATGCACACAGGCTTGAGCTGAGATATATGTTCACCAATGGATGGAAATCACATTTCCAGCAGACAGAATGGGTGAGACGTCTGAGAGCCCCCACGGTGCAGCTGCTTTCCCACCCCGCCACCTGCCTTCTAAACTAATAGTGATTGTATAGACAACTTCCTTTGTACGGAGGGGACAAAGTGGAGAGGAGAGATATTAGGATGGATGGAGACACATCAGCTGTGATTTGCTCATTTAGGCCGGAGTTAGACGTGAGAGTGGGTGTTTATGATCCACAAAAACAACGCAGAGTTAATTTGCTCTGCATCTCTGAATTGCATTATTGCAAATCAATTGTGGGCGTATTACAAGCCTTATGTTTTCTATTAGGCAGCATTGTTAATCGGCTTTATTGTGGCGTGGTCGTGCTCACCATCTCAAGGGCTCATATATGTCAGAAACGTCCAATTTGCAGATTGAACGCTGAGGTCATTGTGCTTCAGGTCATGCGGTGTTGGTGCCATAGTTACCGACGTACACCGAGAGGCCGACCGCGTTTGAATAATGTGAACAGCCGACAGAAACGGAGAAGAATGGCAGAGGCCAGAGGTTCTGTTCCTTAGGAGTGGAAATATGAGTTTATACAATCTGTTTACAATTCACAGCGGTCACGGGGTCGTTTCTAGGAATGAGGACAATGCTCATGTCATAACCCAGCGACAATGAGCAAAAAACCATTCATGTCTCCAAACTGTTTGTGCTCAAAGGCAACTTCAAAACGCAGAGAAACTTCAGAAATTACATAAAGTACATTTTATACAAACGGAGTCCTTGTTAAAAGAGATTTTTCCTGAATTGAGTGTTTTTATTGAAGCATAAAACCTTAAGTTCAACTAGATGTTCTGCCTAAATACAAGATTAACCTGCTTCCTCAGATGTATAGAGCTGTGCAGATGAGAGAGCAGCTTTAAAAAATAAACCCAGCTAAAGAAAAGTCGTCTGATGGAACTTTTTGTGCTCTCACTGAATGACTTCACTGAGTGGTGCTTGACAAGATTATTTAGATTCAGCCCGATGTCGTCGCCTGTTGGTGAAAAACAACTAAAAACATGTCCTTAGTTACTGCAGTTCTACTGCTGGCTGTGCTTGCCTCTGCCCTGTGCTTTACTCACAGCTGTAATCACGTTTCAGATCCAGATTTTGTGGTGAAACCTGTGAATACTCTCGGTGCAGCGCTTGCTTGGAGATTCAATCGGTGACTTCTTCTCCTCTAAACGTCTGAGATGCTTTCATATAACGAACTCTGCAAGGTCTGACGTCATCCAGCGTTTGACAAAAAGAACAGATGAATACAAACGTGATTTCAGTTTTTTACCTTTAATCCTCCCAGTCATCTGAGGACCCCTCAGATGTACCATGTGACCTCCAGACTGGTGGCTAAAGCTCGCTGTCCGTCCCAACAACAACCTGCTGCAGCGTTACAACTCACAGGGATTCATTTAAAGTTCAAGATCTAGACTCCTGGGCGGCGCTACAGCTCACCTGCTTGAGCTGGTGTCCCACGTATAGGAGCTACAGCCCCCATGCAGAGGTCGTGGGGTCGAGTCCCGCTCATGGCCCTTACTCTCCTGTCTCTCTCTCTCTGTCCTGTCCAATAAGGCCGAAAAAGAAAAAAAAAAAAAGGTCTAGACTCCTCTTCGACCTCTAACTGGGTCACAGTTTGTCATAAAGCTCTCTAAAAAGCTAAGATATTAGGGATGAAGCATCCATTTGTAAAACCAGAGAACTCTTCCAGAAAGCCCACGGCTCCGTCGTCTACCTGAGACAACACCAGTCAGACCTAAGTTACCTCTATTCTTGTCATTTCTACTGAATCCTCTCAGCTTCAGTTTGGTTGATATCATCTCAAACAAACAACAAGAAATACGTTTTCTGAAAATCTACAGAAATGGAGTTCTCTGTCTTTGCAAAAGAACTCTTCAGATAAGCAGAGACCAACCCGTCCCCTGTTTCTCTGCTGCAGAGCTCACGGCCCCGACGCCCGGATCCTGGAGGAGTCCAAGATGCCCCCGCTGGGTCAGCTCACTCTGCCCCAGATGCTGCACATCGCTGCCCAGATTGCCTCAGGAATGGTCTACCTGGCATCGCTGCACTTTGTCCACCGCGACCTGGCCACCCGGAACTGCCTGGTGGGGGAGGGTCTGGTGGTCAAGATCGGAGACTTCGGCATGTCCCGGGACATCTACAGCACAGACTACTACCGGGTGAGAGAAGAAAGTACCGTTTTCTTCAGCTCTGAGAGGAAAAGTGGATTAAAAACGGGATTTGTTTATCCTGTTCGGCCGTGATGTTGTGAGTAGTTTGGTTCAGCGTTTGGACTTCCTGGGACGACTGCTTTCCTAATGGAGCAGAAATGTTCTCACACAGCAAACTGTAAACGTACTTTTCATAAATTTACAAATGAGCGACTCTCCATAAATAACATGATTCCTCTGAAATGACCTTTTAAGACAGTTTTATTTGGTATTCGCTCATATTTTCCATTTACATTTGCCTGCTATCTAATAGAATAGAATATACTTTATTTATCCCAGACCTGGTTAAGGTTAGTTATCGTGTTCCTAAAGTACATTTACTCAATGTGAGGTTTTGATTTGCATGATTTTTGCTTCTAATTTGAAATTCCACAGATGACTTCCTGTTTTTTTGTTGGCTTTCATGTATACCGTTACATGTTCAGAACTTTAAACTAATCAGGTTAATTTCCTGAATTACGAACACTATGGGGTCTTAGTACTTATGTTGGTCTGTGTTTTGTGGCAGTCAGTCTGTTTTATTCGCCTAAATGAAATCACCGTGAAGAGAACTTGTTGTCCAGATTGTCCCGTCAGTCAGAGGCAGCTTCAGGATGAATGAGAATCGATTTACTCGAAGCCATCGACAGACGCGGCGAGACTTGGATTATTAAACTGTGCTGATTGTGGACTCACGTTTCTCCATCTTCAGGTGGGCGGACGCACGATGCTGCCGATCCGCTGGATGCCCCCGGAGAGCATCATGTACAGGAAGTTCACGACGGAGAGCGACATCTGGAGCTTCGGCGTGGTCCTCTGGGAGATCTTCACTTACGGCAAACAGCCCTGGTATCAGCTGTCCAACAGCGAGGTGGGTTGGCGGGGAAAGGTTCTCAGTGGATGTCGGGTTGTTGTGGTTTGGATGCATTCTAGTGAAACTTTTATCTAAAATGGTAAACGGACTGCACTTGTACAGGTCTTCTCTACCTCAGCGGCACTCAAAGGGCTTTACAGTGTTTCTCATTCACACACATTCATCCACCAACGGCCACAGAGCTCCATGCAAGCTGCTGCTGCCATCAGGAGCACCTTCAGGGTCACTGTGACTGTGGAGGGGATCGAACCGCCAACCTTCCGATCAGCCGACAACCCGCTGAACCACCTGAGCCACTAAAACAGCCCCGGCCTCCATTCCCAGCTCTAATGTTTAACATACTGTATGTATGACGTAGTTTCTCACTGACCTGTCACAGCACGCAGCGAATGCTGGATTTTGTTTGTCGATACAAACGAGTTGGAGGAGTTTCATCTGAAAACGTGTGACTGTGGGCGACACACTGAACAGTCTTCTGTTGAAAGCAGTGAAAAGTGTTCACTCCTAAAATTCAGAGAAATAAAACCCAAACTACCTGCATAGCTGGACCCTATTAAACATCAGGGAGGAAGATGTTTCTCTCTCTTTTGATGGAGCTGAAACTTCAACGCTGGTGTGCAGGACTTTTATATTCAGCGTGAGTGAAACGTTCAACCTAAATGAATTCACACAGCGCTGATTAGGTCGATGCATCTTTCTGTGTTTTGCAGCATAAGAAGTTTGAGTAGCAACATTCCTGCTCTGGTGTGGAGCAGAGACAAAGGCTCCTCCGGAGGACAGTGGAGCCTTTGCACAAAAATCCCAAATTCACCCAAACAGCTGCATGTTGGTAGCATCATATAAACACAGCAGCGTTTTATATTCAATGAGCTGAACCTCCATCTGTACAGAGCACACTTCTGTTAGCAGCACAGTATGACTTTGGAGAAGCACGGATCAATCCGGCCTCTTCAACGAACAACTGAACAAATTATCACAGTGATTAAACTACTTTGTGCTTCGTCACTGACTGGAACTGCATCTCAGCTGCTTGAGAATAGACCTCAGGCTGAACATCAGCCAGTTATCAACCAGAAACCCAAGCAGACGTCCCGGTCGGTGCACGCTGGGATAGCTGTTTAATTAACTTGATTAGACTTTTAAAATCCACTTCTGCAGACGGCAGCCTGAGATGTTTTGGTGCCTCCACATAATTCAAACTTCGACAACAGAACATCTCCCCTGCAGCAGCCGTCCGTACAGACTTTACTCTGCGCTCTTGAACTGATCAATAAGTTCATAGTAATTAAGGGCCGTCCAGTCTAGCCTTTTCAGCTTAAGCACCAAGAAGTGGGACTCCACTGTGACCACAGCGGTGCTATTACAGGCCGTAACCCTCTCTCCTTTCAAGAGAAGGGTGGATCGCTTTTCCTTTGCACTCGATTCTAATCTGATTGGCTTTCATTTTTACCCCAGGCCAATGAGCTGTAACCTTGTTAACCTCATCTGTCTCGGCCAATGACGGACAGGTGAAATTATCGTGTTGCCTAAATACTCTGTGGCGGCGATAAATCATCCCAAAATACTGACGTGGCGACAGCAGCCATTTTGGCGGCCCTCACAAGTCCGTGTGGGAGGCGGCCCGGCAGTGACAGAACTCTTCTGTTTGCCGGATCAGGCCGAGGTTAACAACCGAGAGGACACCGAGTCAGGAAGCATTCAGACGCAGCCAAATCGCCTCTCTTCTTCTGGACAGTGATTTATTCAGGGAGCAGCGAGAGCGTGTGAACTCAGACAGCCGTGGCAGCCATTAGCGTCAGAGCCGGAGGTTATTCATGCTGCGGCTGCTCTCGTTTGTCCCCGAGGTCGCCGCTAATGGACACATCTGTAGATAGGGAGGCTGTTGTGTTGTTTGTTGGGAAACATTGTCTTTGGACTTGAGCTTCTTGCGTGCTCGGCCGGCTTTATTAAAACCTGCTCTCACTCAGGTTTAATGGATTCTGGCTGTATGGACAGTTGGGCTTTGGTTTGTCCCGGTTTTGATCCGTCTTTACTGTCAGATGTGGCACTAAAAAACAGTTTAGGAACTTTAATTTACTTAAATAAACCATTTTTTAGTTGTGGTTCTGGAACAAATATTTCACCTTCTGATAACTTTAGTTGCTGATTTAGGAGATAAAATGCTTCATAATACCAGTAATTATATTATTAATCATTTCTAAAGAAAGCTATTTGGTGGACGAGCATCCTGCTGTTCATAATGTAATTAAGATTAGCTTCACGTTTACCACCTGCAACCCTAAAGTAGATCATATCTGCAACATAAAATCTGTTACTGCAGTCGACATTATTCTGAAATAAGTACAGGCTTATGTGTAGATGAACAGCCTTAAGCAACGCCCCAAACAAGTTCACTTCATGCTGATTGGGCCAATCAGCACCAGCTAAATGTCTCTTGGATTTCACAGGATGCTGGACTTTGAGTCTGTTTTCTGTGGCACACCGGTAGCCAAACGTTTCACCAGTCGCCAGCTACAACAGTCGTCATGGAGACAGAGGGAGCGACTGTGAGCGCGGTGGAGCCTGTCGGGGGGAAACCTGGGAAGCATCCAAGAAAAGTTTCTGATGCTCCAGATAACAAAGAAACTAAAAACAGTGATCCATGGTGAGAATGTACTGCCTCCAAGTAGAAGAAGACATAAAATCCAGTGTCCACCGAATACCTCCGTTCATCTGGACTCTTCTCATGAACACAGCAAACAGAACCCGTGTGAAGGTGTCGGCACAACCTATGTGTCTGTGGGATTACGCTCACTGCCAGAGGAGACAGACGAACGTCTCACGCTGCAGGTTTAAGTTGATCTTGATGCCACTTCCTGTAGTTACGTTCTGAATCAGAAACAGATTTATTGTTGGGTATAGTTTGCACAATACCAGGAATTTGTTCTGGTGGTTTGGTGCAACAATAAATATACAGAGTGAGGAACAATGTGCAAGATAATAATATAAAAACAGATAAAAAAATAAAAGTAACTGTAGTAGCGCAAAGCAGAAGCAAAAGATGTTGTGCAGTGAAGAATTCAGTTTAAATAAGAACCATAGAACTGTAGTTGTTTACTAGACTTTCCAGGAGTGCAGGGTGGAGGTGAGCAAAGAGAGAAGAACCACGCTGGTGCTTGTGTCGCTGCTTTTACTGAATCACTGCAACAAAGAGCTGCAAAAAGCTTCTCCCTCTGCAGTCCGTGGTGCTATACATCTAAATCTGTATGCAGATGTTTATGGTTTTCACTGTGACCTGCAACAGGACTGTGGATGAAACAACGAGCTCGACTACCGCGCAGTATTGGAGCATCATATCTGGTGCTAAAACTCAGATTTATTACTGCGTGGT